CGCTGTCACCACGGAAGTAGATGGCCCCATCTTCCTTCCGAGGAGTAGTTGGTAGGTTTGGACTTCCAGCCTTCTGGCTAGCAGTCACATGCCTTAGGCACTGTGCCACCAGAGCTCCCTGGTTTTCCATATATGCCTTTTATTATATTGAGGAACTTCCCTTCTGTCCCTGTTTCTTGAGAGTTCTGAACAGGAACGGGTGTTGGATTTTATCAAATGCCAGATTTGTGCATCTATGTTCATGAGGGATATTGGTCTGTAGTTTTCCTTTTTAATTGTGTCTTTCCCTGGTTTTGGTATTAGTCTTGTGCTTGCTTCATAAAATGAGTTTGGGAGTATTCCATATATTTCTGTGTTCTAGAATAGCTTGAGTAGTGTAGGTGTCAACTCTTCCCTGAATATTTGGTAAAATTCTCCAGTGAAGCCATCAGGGCCAGGACTTTTCTTTGTGGGGAGGGTTTTTTTATGATCTATTCAATTTCTTCTTTTGCTATAATTCTGTTCAAGTATTCTATCTCTGACTGGGATAGTTTAGGTAGGTCTTATGATTCTAGAAAGTTGCCCATCTCTTCTAGGTTCTCAAATCTGTTGGAGTACAGTTTTTCATAATATTCTGTCAGTATCTTTTTTTATTTTAGTTGTTGCTGTTGTGATGACCCCCTTTTCATTTACTATCCTTGTAATTTGCATCTTCTCTTTCTTTTCTTTTGTTAGATTTGCCAATCGTTTGTCGATTTTATTAATCTCTTTGAGGAACCAGCTTTTTGTTTTTTTTCATTTTCTCTATGGTTTTTTTTGTTTCCTTTATTTCTCCTCTGATCTTTATTATTTCCTTACTTATATATACTGTGGGATTCTTTTGTTGTTCTTTTTCTAGTTGTTGGAGTTATTGAATTAGAGTGTTGATTTTGTTTCTTTCTTCTTTTTTGATGTTTGCATTTATTGTTATTAACTGTCCTCTGAGTACTGCTTTTGCTGTGTCCCATAGGTTTTGGTATGATGTATCTTCATTTCTTCTATTACCCAGTAGTTTTTGAGCAGTGACTTGTTCAGCTTCCACATGTTGCATGTTTTTTCCTTGCTCTTCCTATTATTAATTTCTAATTTTATAGCATTGTGGTCTGACGAGATGCTTTGTAGTATTTCAGTATTTTTGAATTTATTGAGACTTATTTTGTGTCCTGACATATGATCTATTCTGGGGAAGGATCCATGTGCACAGGAGAAGAATGCGAATTGTGCTTTTGTTGTGTGGAATGCTCTGTATATGTCTATGAGGTTGAGTTGGTTGATTGTGTTCTTGAGTTTTTCTGTATCTTTGTTGAGCTTTTTTCTAGTTGATCTGTCCCTCCTTGAAAGTGGTGTGTTAAAGTCTCCTATTATTATTGTAGCGTTGTCTGTTGTCCCTTTTAATTCAATTAATATTTCCATCACGTATTTTGGAGCACTTTCATTGGGTGCATAAATACTTATTTTTCATAACATCTTCCTTTGTCAATTGACCTTTTCAGCATCATATAGTGTCCTTCTATGTCTTTTATGTTGTTTTTCACCTTAAAATCTATTTTATCAGAAATTAAAATTGTCACTCCTGCTCTTTTTTGGTTACCATTGACTAGGTATATTTTTTCCACTTCTTAACTCTTAATTTGTTTTTATTTTTGTGTCTAAGATGGGTCTTTTGTAGGCAGAGTATCAATGGGTCTTCTTTTCTTACCCAGTCTGCCACTCTCTTTCTCTTGATTGGTGCATTTAGTCCATTCATGTTGAGTGTAATTAATAATAGGTATGAATTGATTGCTGTCATCCTTTTGTGTTTTTTTTGTCATGTTGTTGGAGTTTCCTTCATCCGTATACTTTGCTGAGTTCAATTTGTTGTCAAGTGCTTCCTCTCTTTTCCTCTTTATTGTTGGTTTTGTGCTGATTAAACCTATATGTTTTCCTTCCTTCTGGATTTGCTTAGAGATATTGCTAATTTTCTCTATGTTACCTTGGAGTGAAGTTTTTTCTCTATGTTTTTGGAACAGTCTGTTCTATGAGAACATTGTCCTGTTTTCCTCTTCATTTGGAAGTTTGTACCTAGAACTTTTGTTCTCTCCACTTGGTTAGTTGCTGTTGTCGTGTGCAGATTGGCTTCCTTATTTTTTAGTGTACAGTGTTTTATGGTCTTATTTTGAGTGTCTATTTCTGATTTGCTTTTAGTGTTGATGTCATGTATCCTGATTTTTTTGATCTCTGTTGTGGATTCTCTATTGGAAGGACTTCCTTAAGCATTTCTTGCAGGGTTGGTCTGGTCTTCACAAAATCCCTTAATTTCTGTTTGTCTTAGAATGCCTTGATTTTGCCCTCATATTTGATGGACAATTTGGCTGTATATAGGATTCTAGGTAGGAAGTTCTTTTCCTTCAGTGTTTTATATATGCCGTCCCATTGCCTTTTTGCCTGCATGGTTTCTGCTGAGTAATTGGAGCTCAGCCTTTTTGATTATTATAAGTAGTATTTCTTTTGTCCTGGGCAGCGCACAAAATTATTTCTTTGTTTTTGGTTTTGGAGAGTTTGATTATTATAAGCCTTGATGTTTTTGTCTTGAGATTTATCCTGTATGGAGTTCTATGAGCTTCTTAGGCAAATATCTTTTCTTCCTTCATGACATGGGGGAAGTTTTCTGTTAGTAGGTCTTCCATAATTTTCTCGGCTGATTTTTTTGTCTCTTCTTGTTTTGGAATTCCAGTGATGTATATGTTGTTTCTTTTCATGTTGTCCCATGTAACTCTTAGGTTCTCTTCATTTCTCTTAAATCTTTGTTCTGATTTTTCTTCATACAGACGGGTGTCCAGGGATTTTTCTTCTAGTTGAGAAATGTGTTCTTCAGTCAATTCTATCCTATTCTTTTGTGCTTCCACTGTATTGTGCAGTTCTGTGATTTTACCATTAATCTTCTGGATTTCTAACTGCTCTTTTTGTATGAGTTCTGATTGTGCCTTAATCTCATTATTTTGTTCTTAAATGGTTTTCCTGAGTTCTTTCAGGGTACTCTCTGTGTTCTTGCTTCTGATTGGGGTTTTGTTAAACTCTTATAGAGCTGTGTAAACATTCCTTCCCAGATAATTCTGTTGCCTCCTCCTCCTCCATGTTTAATGAGACTTTTGTTTGGGATTTTACTTCTAATGTTTTATCCTGTTGTTTTGTCTGATTTGAGGTTGCCTGTTTCCTAGAAATTTTGGAGTTGTGTTTAACTGTTAGTTATGTATTGATTTGTTTTGTCCTGTTTTTATGATTTAATATTTTGAAAAGCTGGTGTATTTAAGTTTTTGGCTGTTAATTCAAGTGTACTAGATTGTTCTGCAGTTTTCTTTGTGATGATAGATTTGCTGTGCGGAATGTGGATGCAGGTCTTTTTTTGTCATAAAGGGAATTTAGGATTGGGCCAGCAGGTGTTTTGGTGGCTGAATATGGATTTTCTATTGGATTAGGCAGGACAGAGGCGGAGGGGAAGGAAAGAGAGAATGAAGAGAAGCTTCAAGGTGCCAGGATCAGTTTCTGGGTCTATGAGCGGGCTGCTAATGATGACATTATACTGTTACTCACAGGCCTGCAGCTCAAGTTCAGCAAAGAGTCCAATTGTTAGGTGGCTGCCAATTTCTGTCAGGTTCAGACAGACTCAAAAACCCCACTTTGCAGATCCTCCATGCCAAAAAGTTGAATTAGGATAACTGTCCCAATCCACAATGGTGGTTTGTCCCAGGTTCTGCCCACTTGTGGCTTTATTCTTCTTACTGCTCCCATGCTTCCATGGTACTGGAGCCAGAGGAATATCATTTCCCTCCCAGCAGTCCCAGGTTTACCGATAAAAGCAAGTGCTGAAGGTAGATCCATGAAGTGGCCACAGGTTCTCTGGTGTGTTGCATTCTCTCCACTGCCCCAGGGAGGTCTCTGATGCCCTTTGTCTCCTGCTGGTTTGCACTCTCCCAGGGAGGTCTTCTGTGACCTTTTCTCGCCTGCTGGTCAGTGCTCTGCAGGCAGGTTTATCTGTTTTTGTTATTTTTTTTTTCCCCCTGGTAATTGCATTTCACCCTTCTTCTTTCTAATCCTATTCCCCTGAGTTTGCATACTCTGACTTAATGAGCTGTTGAGAGCACCAGAATCCCCATTTCAAACTGTTGCACCTAATTTCCAGGCACTAAGCTGCTGGAGGGAACTTGCGTGTGTATTACAGGAGAGATGCCATTTTCCCATATATAAACATTTAAAAATACGTTATTATAGCTGCTAAGCTGCTGGAGGGAACTTGCGTGTGTATTACAGGAGAGATGCCATTTTCCCATATATAAACATTTAAAAATATGTTATTATAGCATGTTGCAATTTTAAAATCTGATTCTGTTACACGAATTTTCAAAAATTGACATGTGAAGGACAATTGGATGACCTCTTAAAAGGATTAACTAATAGTGTGTTCTATGCTGATTTTTTAATTATGCTGATTAATTAATTAATTAATTAATCTATGCTGATTGTGTTAAATTAGTGGGGTTCTAAAAGTGTGGTCCTTGGACCAACAGCAACACCGATACCTGGGGATGTATTAAAATCCAAATTCTCGGGCTCTATCGGACTCACCTAATCAGAAATTTGGGGATGGGCCCAATAAACTATGTTACTACAAGCCCTGTAAGGGACAGCTGCAGTTGGCTTTGGGGCTGTCAACTTCCAGGGTAAGCAGTGTAACAGTTGTCTTGCCTCCAGGTTGCTAAGCTGGTCTTGGGAGATGGAGAAGAAAGGCTCTGACATGCTCCTTCCTGTGGCTGTATACTTCCCACTTCATGTTCTGTTTCTGACTGGTGTCTGTCTTAGATTATTGTCCTGAACCCACTTTCCCTTCCCCTCTGAGAAAAGTGAAAATGGAGTCACCTGTCTAAGAAGAGGTTGGAACCACTGGGTTGGAGTACAGAGTTACCTTATTATTCTTCAGTGTACTAATTTAATATTTTACTTTACAGGGCATTAGTCCAAAGAGTCTGAAACAATCCTCTGAGGATGCAGAAAAGTATTCATGTTTTGCTTTATTTGCAAAATTTGGTAAAGAGGTAATTTTAAAGTAATTTTTAAAATGAACATATTTTGAAAAAGGCCTAGTAATCATAAATAATCTAATTATTTAAAAGCCATTTTATTAAATCCAGGTTGTGTATAAAGTTTAAAAAAATACAAAGGAAGGAAGCTGTTGTGCTTTAAGAGTCCTTTGAATTTTCTTAAAATAACTTATTTGAGTGACAGAAAACCAAAACTCACTGCCATTGAGTCAGATCCGACTCATAGTGATGCCTCCTTGAGTTTCCAAGGCAGTATCACTACAGAAGTAGATTGTCCAACCTTCCTTCCAAAGAGTGGCTGGTGGGTTTGAACCACCAGCCTTCTGTTAGCAGTCAAGTGCCTTAGGCACTATGCCAGTAGAGAGCTCCTTATTTAAGTGATGACAACCTAAAATTAAGGAGATTCTTAAGTTTTTTCATATTATGGGGCATACTTCAACAAATGCACCTATCCTGGGCATCACAACTTCATTCATAGGTTACTGTGGCCATGTCACTTAAAAGCTACTTGCTCATTTTTTCCTATTTGATTTTCAATTGATGCACTCTGTTTAGGTAAACAGTACTGTGTTTTTCACGTTTCTTGGTAGGTGTCAGTTAAAATGAAGCAATACAAAGATGAACTTTTGGCTTCTTGCTTGACCTTCATTCTGTCTCTGCCATGCGACATCATTGAGCTTGATGTGAGAGCCTACGTTCCTGCATTGCAAGTAGGTGCATTGTGTTGAGCAGATGTATTTCTTCATGTAGTACCATGTTTCCTGGAAACACTGAAATATCACAGTCCTGCAATTGCTTTGCCATCAGGCATGCCTGGATCAGGTTTTGCTGCTTATGATTAACTTTGGGATTTGAGCTTACCTTGTAGATTTGTGTGAGATTTCAACTTTCTATGCTTTGAAAATATGCAGTACAGCTCCAGCCATATAGGTAGATGATTGTTGCTACCCTAATCATCATCCTCATATCTCCAGCAGTGTCTAGTGTCCCACTAGTAGGAAGGCATGTTGTTGTTGTTGTGTTGTTAGGTGCCATCAACTTGGCTCTGACTTGTAACGACCCTATTATGTACATCAGAATGAAACCCTGCCCAGTCCTGCACCGGCCTCACAATCCTTGCCATATCTGAGCCCATTGTTGCAGCCACTGTGTCAGTCCATCCTGTTGAGTGTCTCCCCTTTTTTGCTGACCTTCTACGTTACCAAGCATGATATCCTTCTCCAGGGAATGGTGTCTTCTGACAACATGGGTAAAGTAGGAAGGTGTAGTAATTAGAAACCAAAATGAGTGTTATTTTTCTTTAGCGTAGTAATTAGAAACCACAATGATTTTTTTTTTACTTTAAATTTTAAATTCCTGAATTTCATTTTACCTTGATTATATAGATGGCTTTCAAACTGGGCTTGAGCTATACCCCATTGGTGGAAATTGGTCTGAATGCCCTAGAAGAATGGTCACTTAACATCTCCAAATATGTAATTCAGCCATATTACAAAGACATTCTACCCTACCTTGACAGTTATCTGAGAACTTCAGTTTTATCAGGTAAGGATTAGAAGAATTGTGGTATGTGAATCTTAGCGTGGCACTGTGGTAACTATAATTGCACTATTTATATTTTTGCAACTTATGGAATTTGAACCCAACATATTGAAAATATATTTGACTAACATTTTTGTAATTTCCCAAATTCATTTCAATATTGTTGGCATAATAGGAAGTCTAATTGAAGCATTGAAACATTTTTTCATTTTTTTATAATTTATTTTATTTTTTGTTGTTAAGAATGCACACAGCAGAATATTCACCAATTCAGCATTTTCTGTGTGTATGATACAGTGACACTGATTACATTCTTTGAGGTATGCAACCATTCTTAATCTCCTTTTCTGAGTTGTTCCTCTCCCATTAATAGAACTTCATTGCTCCTTAGGTTTTCCACGTAATCTTTCGAGTAGTTGTTGTAGTTTGATGTCATATAGATAGATACTATAAAAGCAGATTGCTCAAGGTAGACATCCCTTACTTTAGTTAAGCTAAGCTATTGTTTAGTTTTAAGAAGACTTAGGGGATATTTTGTTTTAAGATTAAAAGATTATCTTAGGCCAGTTGTTTTGGGTTTTTATCCTGCCTCAGTGGCAAGCTATTTTTCATTTTTTATAGTTTTACTAAGGTTTTTAAGATCTTCAAGGATTACACTTTATCTTATATATCATTGAACTTCTTATAGCTTCTTATATACTACTTCCTTGCAAAAAAATTTGCACCACTTGTTTTGTTTACCTACTGCCGCTCTGACAGGAATAGACCACAAATGGAATGGCTTGAAGAAACAGGAGTTTCTTCTCTTACAGTTTAGTGCCAGGCTCTAGGAGCTGGGTGAAAGCCCCTCAACCTCAGGCTTCAGCTCTGCCTCCTGCTCCTGGCTCACTGAAGCTAGAGGCTTTTTTCATTCAGCTGCTGGCTGCCGAGGCTGACAAGCCCTAGGTTAACAGGTAATAAGGCATAGTTCCAATATTACCAAACCACACAGCAGGCCATTAATTCAATGCCATTAAAAGTCCCAGGGTCAGCGGAGTGTGTCAGGCTGCTGAACAACGACTTGGCTACATGCAGGGTTCAAGCTTGCTATAAGCTAGAGACTATTCCCCAAGGCTTCTCGGTATATATAGGAAGCAGATCACAGCCCTAAGTCAGCTACTCAGTTGCTCACAGTAGATTCCATTATGGAGTTGATAACCAGTCTCACCATGGGGAATACTATATCCAGCTGTCCAGCCACTCAACCAGGCCCAGCCAAGTTGACACATAAACTTAACTAACACACTACCCAAAAATTCAGTGTAATTGTTATAATTTAGTGTTTACTTTTATTTATTTTTTTTTAATAATGCAAGCCAGTTAAGAAGAACTGAAAAAAAATCATCATAGAAAAAATGGGTTTGGGAAAAAAATTCAAAAAAATATCTGGACTGGCAAAAGTTCTAGTAAAGAAAAATACCATTAGAGTGGGGAAGACAGACAGAGTTACTTAAACCAGAGTGAAAAGGGATATTCTTACTTGATGGAAGAAATGAAAGATTCAGTTAGGAGAAAGACACTGAAGCATTTGTAAGAATTTGAATTTTACTCTCATCAAAGTAGAAAAATCTAGTTTTAGTTTATGAAAATTCACCTATTTAAATCATTATTTTATTGTTACAAATTCATTCACTGTGTCTGGTTTTTGTGACACTTTTCATATATATTCAGAGTACAAGAAGAAAGATTCAAAATTCTGCAAAACTTCTGGTAAATAACTATTTTAGAGACAACATATAAAAACTGTTTAATGTATATAGCTTAGTTAGCCTTTTAAAATTCACTTTATGTAAGGAATGATGCTATTTGAGTAATTCACTAAAAATACATGTACTTAACTGAAAAAGATGAGTTTATTTAGTAGTAAATATCTAGAAAATTTTTAGCTTCAATCCTACAAGTAACATAAAAGACACACAAACACAAAAACTGACCAGTACAAATATCAAAAGAGCTGTTCTTCCTTGTATATGCAGAATTCTTAAATAATTGGAGACTGAAAAAAAAAAAAAAAAGACAAGCACCAATGAGCCAGTTCTCTATCATCTCTGACTCATCACAAAGTAGATCTCTTACATCGATCCACAGAAGACCTACAAGGAAGGTATTAAAGCAAATTCTCAGTTATTGCTGCCACTCACGGGGAATTGCTTATTGGGTAAGCAAGTCAACAACCCAAGGCACAGTTTTAGTCAGGGAAAAAACTAGAGAAAGTAAAGTTCTGTTTCCATTTGAGATTCATCTCGTCAAACCATGGAAAAGCGTCTGGGCTTAAACCAGCAGTAAAGTGTCCTCCAGCAACACAGTTCATCTAAATCTGGCACCAGATTCAGTAGACATCCCAAAAACTATTGAAGAATAGCTTTATAGCTCTACTGCAGGCATTAAATGAACATATGCCAAAGATTTTATTGAACTCAATAATTGATAAGGAAAATAGTGAGATTTTATAACTGATTCCCATAACCTGAAAGAATTATAAGAAAACATTAACAACATCCAAATCTGGAGGAGACACAGAATTACTGACCTATAATTTTACAAAACCTCAAAATCATACAAGTCAAGCAAAATCTGAAGAACTTCCAGAGTAAAATTAAGTACTTAGGTGACTTGATAGCTAAATACAGTATGTGGATTTGAACTAGATCCTTTGGCTATAAGACATTGCCTACTCCTCACTTATTGACTATCTTCTTATCTGACAGTTGACATTTGCAATAATAAAAAAATCCACTATCTGACTATTTTGTGCATTGATGAGGTGATGGACATGGTAACAAGAGCTCTGGTGGCACATTACCTAAGGCATTTGACTGTTAACCAGAATGCTGGCTGTTCAAACCCACCAGCCACTCCTTGGAAGGAAGGTTGGACAATATATTTCCATAGTGATACTACCTTGGCAATCCAAGGAGGGGTCTCTATGAGTCGGATCCGACTCCACGGCAGTGAGTTTGGTTTGGGAGCTCTGGTGGCATAGTACCTAAGGCATTTGACTGCTAACCAAAAGACTGACGGTTCAAACCCACCAGCCACTCCTCGGAAGGAAGATTAAGCAATCTACTTCCATAGTGATAACGCCTCGGAAACCGAAGGAGTGGTCAGTATGATTTGGATCTGACTCCATGGCACTGGTTGTTGCTATGGAGTGTCCCTTCCCTTGAGAGTGGTCTCCAGGCAGCCTCTTGGAAGCTTGACCACACTGTCTTGCACCCTCTGCTCCCTCATAGCCTGTCTCCATGACCACTACCTCTGAGTAGTTGCACAGGCACCACGAAGCCAGCAGGTGCATGTTCTGAGTTCCCAGGTCCAGTGTGCCTGGAGGCCATTCATCTCAAAAGAGAAGAAACAGAGGAAAGAAAGAAGCATTGGAGAGGGTATTTGGAAGAAATGCATGTGAGTTTCATGACATTTCTAAGTGAGCTGAAGTGGGCTTGAAGTCTCTGCATTGGTAGAGCTGAGCTGCAGCCAGGATCCCAGTGCCCTGGCCCTCACAAGAAACCCTGACTGAATAGGCCTGAGGGCAGAGTAGGCTCTGGAATCATGAACAAAGGGCTTGCAGGAGTAGGAGGGAAGGCTCTGGGAGGGAAGCTCTGACCCAGTACAGGAGGAAGTTAAAGTGGCTAACCTGTGGGCCCTCCAGTCACACACAGCTCAGCTTTATCTCTTCCAAGCCTCCATCTCTACAGAGGAATAATCCATATATGAACTTGTCACAGTGATGAACACTTCTGTACATCTTATCTGTTTCTATATCTATGATCATATTTTCTTGGGAAAAAAATTACAGAAATGGATTCTCTGAAAACACAAAAAAATCCCTCCGTTTTCACATAAATCCACTTTTTGCACAGGGACCTTGTCTTTGGAATGTAACTATGTTGTTAAGTGAGGGGTGAATGTAGTAGCACCAATGCTAAAACCTGAATGAGTGTGACTATTAGTGGTTGATGATTGTGAGGCAGAAAAATATCCTAGTTGAAGAAAAGACACACTAAAGTATTCAGGAGTGGGGAGCATCAAGTTGACAACTTACTCTCAGATTGTCCAGGCAAAAAGTTTTGCATTGTACTTCCAAGTTTTCTATGAGTTGAAGATTACTTCAAAATAAAACACAAATAGTATATGAGAGGGATACTTTAAGACTAAATATTCTGTTCCTCATCAGATTTTCTTCATAATAGTTTTAGCATCCATTGATAATTCTTCCTGAATCACTTATTACTGTGTTAATTTCAGAATGGTACTTTTCTAACTCCATCATTCCTTTTATGTGTTTGAATTCTCTTATAGGAAATAACTTTCACTTATCCCCTGCTTATTTATTTATATTAATATGAACTCATGATTCTTATTTTTTTAGTGGTTCTAATCTTTTACCATCCTTATTTACATTGATGGTCAAATTGTCCTAGATTTGGCTTCTGTACAAAGTGTGAGAGTCCCTACCAGCTGGCCCCTTGTCAGGCCCCATTATTCTCTGAGAGCTCCTTTCCATCCAGGCTCTTCTTTTCAGTGCACATCTGCCCAGGCCATAGAATTGGTCATTTCTGCATGGAGCTATGTTCCTTTTAGTAGACATGGGTATTTAAAATCAAAAGACAACCACTGTTTTTATTTGTTATTGTAGAAAATATGTTTAAATTATAATTAAAACTGGAGTTTGTTTTCTTTATTTGGCAATAGTGTTATCCTTTGTATATATCGAATAAATGAATGAATGATATTTAAAATTGATATTTGTTTACTGTTCATTAGATGAGTCCAAGAATAATTGGGAAGTATCTGCCCTTGCTCAGGCTTCCCAGAAGGGGTTTCATAAAGTTGTGTTGAAACATCTGAAGAGGACAAAGAACACGGCAGCAGTAAGAAATCCTTTGTATTTTCTTTACCTAAAATAATACAGAGATCAGCTTCTAACAGTTATGAAAAGTTAAAAATCTCTGCTTAAAATTTTAGTTATTTTTGCATACAAGTTAGAGTACATTATAAAAATGATTTTAATATAATATTAGCAATAAGGAGGTTAACAGTAGTATTTGGTTTAGTGTCTTAATTTTCGTTTCTTGTTTGCCTATTGCCCCAAATATATTTAGTGGATCAGAAAAGGTAATAAAGTTTGTATTTAGTAAGCCAGTCAGAATACAAATATTGTGGATATGAAAGATTGATTAGTTTACTAATTTGATCTTACGGACAACACTTTGTCATGTTCTATTCCTGCCAGTTAATTGTTATTATTATTACTTTTTTGTTGATTTAAAAAAAAAAAAACAACTTAGTTTTTCATTGTTGAGAATGGGCACAGCAGAACATACACCAATTCAACAGTATCTACAGGTACAATTCAGTGACATTGATTACATTCTTTAAGTTGTGCAACCATTCTCACACTTCTGAGTTTTTCTTCCCCCATTAACATAAAGTCCCTGCTCCCTAAGGTTTTTATCTAGGCTTTTGTGTTTCTTTTGTCAATTTGATTCCTTATAGACAGATCTTAAAAGAGCATAATGCTCAAGGAAGACATTCTTTACTAGTTAAGATAACTTTTTTTGGGGGGGTGGTGGTCAGGGGTTGTTTTTGTTTTAAGGTTTAAAGATTATCTTAGGTCTTATTTACCAAGGTTCAGCCAGCTTCCAGGGCTTCAAAAAGTCTGCAGTCCATGAGAATTTAAAAATCTGATCTGTATTTTTCCCCTTTTGATTGTGATTTTTCTGCAGAATCTTTGATAAAAATGTTCAGTAACCAGGCATCATCTAGTTTTGGACTCATGGAGAATTGTTCATGGAGGCAATTAGCTTCCCATTCCATTTTCTCCTAATTGTGACACTCCTCCTTCCTCTGTTGTTTCAAGCACTTAGAGACCAGTTCTTGTGCCTTTGAAGGTCACTTATAAGCATTTAAGACCCCAGGCACTATGTTAATTATTCCAATTAACTGATATGACCTCCAAACCTAGGCAACAAATTTCATGAGGTGGAATTGTTTGGTAATACTTAAGCAGCCTCAACAGCTTCTGTTTGTTGTTATTATAAATATACCTGTCCTACAACTTTGTCAATTCAGCTTTTTGCTGGTGTACAACTTATTTACAGCAATGAAATTAATTGGCTGTGTATCTGTACCTTCAATCATTGTGATTTTTCCATCACCAGAAATAAAGACTCAGAACTCCATTAGCAATAACTCGACTTTCTTCCTTCCTCCTACTTCAGATAACCACTAACTTTTGGTCTCTATACATTTACCTTATATTGTCTTTTTATAAGTGAGGTCATATAATATTTGTCCTTTTGTGACTGATTGACTTTACTAAGCATAATGTCTTCAAGCTACATCCATATTGTAGCATATATCAAGACCTCGTTTCTTCTGCTGGCTAAGTATTTATGTACACATTTTATTTATCCATTCATCATTGATGGGCATTTAGATTGTTTTTCACCTTTTTGGCTATTGTGAATAGTATGACAATGAACATGGGTGTACAAGTCTCTGTTTGCGTCTCTGCTTTCAAGTGTTTGAGTATATACTTAGGAGTGGAATATGGTAGTTCTTGGAGGAGTCAGCCTCAGGCATCCAGGTGAGGAGAGGGAACCCAGGCCATGCCCCACAAGTAGCGAGGTAGGAAGGCCGGGAGAGGAGAGAAAAGGCAGAGGGGACTGGGACAGATTGAAGAGTCAGCCGCAGGCACCCACGTGAGGAGAGGGAACCCAGGCCATGCCGCACAAACAGCAAGGCCGGAAGGCAGAGAGAGGACAGAAAAGGTAAAGGGGACCAGAAGAGATTGAGGAGTCAGCTTCAGACACTGAGGTGAGGAGAGGGAACCAAGGCCATGCTCGACAAACAGTGAGGCCAGAAGGCAGGGAGAGGACAGAAAAGGCAAAGGGGATGGGAAGAGATCAAGGAGTCGGCCACAGGGATCCAGGTGAGGAGAGGGAACCCAGGCCATGCCCCACAAGCAGTGAGGCGGGAAGGCAGGGAGAGGACAGAAAAGTCAAAAGGGGACCGGAAAAGATTGAGGAGTCAGCTACAGGCACCCAGGTAAGGAGAGGGAACCCAGGCCACGCCCCACAAGCCGAGAGGGCAGAAAGGCAAGGAAAGGACAGAAAAGTCAAAGGGGACCAGAAGAGATCAAGGAGTCAGCCTCAGGAACCCAGGTGAGGAGAGGCAACCCAGGCCACATCCCACAAGCAGCGAGGCAGGAAGGCAGGGGAACTGGAACAGATCAAAGATTCAGACACAGGGACCCAAGTGAGGAGAGGGAACCCAGCCCATGCCCCACAAGCAGTGATGCAGGAAGGCAAGGAGTGGACAAAAAAGGCAAAGGAGACTGGAACAGATTGAGGAGTCAGTAGCAGGGACCCAGGTGAGAGGAGGGAATCCAGCCCACACACCACAAGCAGTGAAACAGGAAGGCAGGAAGAGGACAGAAAAGACAACAGGCACTGGAATAGATTGAGGATTCAGCTGCAGGGACCCAGGTGAGGAGAGGGAACCCAGGCCATGCTGCACAAGCAGCGAGGCAGGAATGTAGGGAGAGGACAGAAAAGGCAAAGGGGACTGGAAGATAATGAGGAGTCAGATGCAGGTACCCAGCAAAGACAAAGACAAAGGGGACTGGAACAGATTGAGGAGTCAGCTGCAGGGATCCAGATAAGGGTGTGGTTTCCAACAGCTAAGGGAGACAAACTTGTCTGTCGGTTTGTCCTACTTTGGTGATGTGTTACTGTGAGTCTTGAGGCTGTGCCACCGTTGTTTCAAACCCAGTGGGGTGCACTTGGTGCACAGGTATCAGCTCGGCTTGCAGACTGAGACAGACTAGGAAGAAGGAGGAGGCCATCCACTTCTTAAATAATTGGCCAGGGAAAACCTTATGAATAGAAGAGAAACACTGTCTGATACGTTACTGTGCAACTTTATGAATAGCCTGGAAACTTTGTCCACTTCAGAGGAGGAAGATGAGTCACTTAGCTTAGAAAGCTCTCAAAGTAGGACTGGACAAGAGCTGCGTTATCAGAGTAAAATCAGCCTTACTCATATGGATAACGTAAAGCTTTTGAGACTTCCATTTGCTGACATGGCACCACTCAAATGGAGGAGAAACAGCGGCAAACATCCATTAATAATTGGAACATGGAGTATACGAAGTATGAATCTTGGAAAATTGGAAGTTGTCAAAAATGAAATGGAACACATAAAATTGATATCCTAGGCATTAGTGAGTTTAAATGGACTGGTTTTGGCCGTTTTGAATCAGACAAACATATGATCTACTATGCAGGGAACGACAGTTTAAAGAGGAATGGCGTGGCATTCATTATCACAAAGGATATTTCAAGATCTGTCCTCAAGTACAATGCTGTCAGTGATAGGATAATATCCATCCACTTACATGGAAGACCTGTTAATATGACTATTATTCAAATTTAGGCACCAACCACCAAAGTCAAATATGAGGAAATTGAAGATTTTTATTAACCTCTACAGTCTGAAATTGACCAAACATGCAATCAGGATGTGTTAATTATCACTGGTGACTGGAATGCAAAAGTTGGAAACAAAGAACAATCACCGGTAGCTGGAAAATTTGGCCTTGGTGACAGAAATAATGCTGGAACTCACATGGTAAAATTTTGCAAGACCAACAACTTATTCATTGCAAACACCTACTTTCAACAACACAAACGGTGGCTGTACACGTGGACTTCACCAGATGGAACACACAGGAATCAGATTGACTACATCTGTGGCAAGAAGTGATGGAAAAGCTCAATATCTTCAGCCAAAACCAGGCCAGGAGCTGATTGTGGAACAGAGCATGAACGGCTCATATGCAACTTCAACTTAAAGACAATTAAAACAAGTCCACGAGAGCCAAAATATGATTTAAATATATCCCTCAATTTAGAGACCATCTAAAGAATAGATTTGATGCATTGAACACCAATGACCAAAAACTAGAATTGTGGGATGACATCAAGATCATCATCCAGAAGAAAGCAAGAGGTCACTAAAAAGAGAACAAAAAAAAGAGAAGAACAAAATGGATGACAGAAGAGACTCTGAAACTTGCCCTTGAATGTACAGTAGCTAAAGCAAATGGAAGAAATGACAGCATAAAAGAATTGAACCGAAGATTTCAAAGAGCAGCTCGAGAAGACAAAGCCAATTACTATAATGACATGTGCAAAGACCTGGAGTTAGAAAACCAAAAGGGAAGAACATGCTCGGCATTTCTCAAGCTGAAAGAATTGAGGAAAAAAATAAAGCCTCAAGTTGCAATATTGAAAGATTCTAAGGGCAAAATATTGAATGATGCAGGGAATATCAAGAGAGGATGGAAAAAATACACAGAGTCACTAGCAAAAACAACTGGTCGATCTTCATCCATTTCAGGAAGTGACATATGATCTAGAACCAATGGTACTGAAGGAGGAAGTCGAAGCTGCAGTAAAGGAATTGGTGAAGAACAGGGTTCCAGGAATTGACAGAATACCCACTGAGATATTTCAAAAAATGGGTGCTGTACTGGAGGCAGTCACTCAGTTATGCCAAGAGATTTGGAAGACAGCTACCTGGCCAACTGACTGGAAGAGATCCATATTTGTGCCCATTCCAAAGAAAGGTGACCCTACAGAATGTGGAAATAATTGAACAATATCATTACCATCTCATGCAAGCAAGATCTCACTGAAAATAATTAAAAAATGGTTGCAGCAGTATATTGATAGGGAACTTGCAAAGGTTCAAGCTGGATTCAGAAGAAGATGAGGAACAAGGGATATCATAGCTGCTGTTAGATGGAGCTTGGCTCAAGGCAAAGAATACCAGAAAGATGTTTACTTGTGCTTTATTGACTATGCAAAGGCATTTGATTGTGTGGATCATGACAAATTATGGATAACATTGAAAAGAATGGGAATTCCCGAACACTTGATTGTACTCATGAGGACCTGTACCTTGACCAGCAGGCTGTCGTTCGAACGGAAGAAGGGGACACTGCATGGTTTAAAATCAGGAGGGGAGTGTGTCAGGGTTGTATCCTTTCCCCATACTTACTCCATCTATATGCTGAGCAAATAATCTGAGAAGCTGGACTATATGAAGAAAAATGTGGTGTCAGGATTGGAGGAAGAATCATTAACAACCTGAGATACGCTAATGATACAACTTTGCTTGCTGAAAGTGAGGATGACTTAAGGCCCTTACTGATGAAGATTGAGGAACACAGTCTGCAGTATGGCTTATATCTCAATAAAAAGAAGACAAAAATCCTCACAACTGGACCAATAAGCAACATCATGATAAATGGAGATAAGATTGAGGTTATCAAAGAATTCATATTGTTTGGTTTTACAATCGATTCCAATGGAAGCAGCAGTCAGGAAATTAGAAGATGTGTAGCACTGGGCAGGTCGGCTGTGAAGGAACTCTTTCAAGTGCTGAGGAGCAAGTATGTCTCCTTGAGGACTAAGGTGTGCCTAACACAAGCCATGATATTTCCATTTGCCTCATATGCATTTGAGAGGTGGACGATGAATAAGGAAGACCGAAGAAGAGTTGATGCTTTTGAGTTGTGGTGCTGGTGAAGAATGCGGTATAATGGACTGCTAAAAGAACTAACAGATCTGTCCTGGAGGAAGTGTGGCCGAGATGCTCCTTGGAAGCGAGGATGGCCAGACTTCGTCTCACCTACTTTGGTCATGTCGTCAGAGGGGACCATTCCCTGGAGAAAGTATGTCATGCTTGGTAAGGTGAAGAGTCGATGAAATAGGGGAAGGCCTTCGTCAAGATGGATTGACATGGTGGCTGCGAAAATGGGCTCAAGTATAGCAAGGGTCATGGAGCTGGCGCAGGATCGGGCGGTGTTTCATTATGCTGTGCATGGGGTCGCTGTGAGTCGGAAACAACTCGACAGCACCTAACAACAATGTGGTAGTTCTTTTTTTAGTTTGTTCTGCAGAATAACCCTACTATTTTCCACAGTGGTTGTACTGTTTTGCATTCCAATGCAAACTGGGCATGGTTAAGGATTCCAGTTAACCTCACATTCTCACCAACATTTTTTTTTTCTTCTTTTTTTTTAATCTTACTCATCCTATTGTTGTTGTTGTTGTTATGTTCCATCAAGTTGGACCCGACTCATAGTGACCCCTCTGTGGGTTTCCAAGGTGGTATCACTATGGAAGTAGGTTTTCCAATCTTCCTTCTGAGGAGTGGCTGGTGGGTTTGAACCACCAGCATTCTGTTTAGCAGTCAAGTGCCTTAGGCACTATGCTACCAGAGCTCCCAATGAAATGGTTTCTGATTGTGGTTTTGATTTCCATCTCTCTGATGGCGAATAACATTGAGCATCTTTTCATGTTTTTGGTGGCCATTTGAATATTCTCTTTGATGAAATGTCTGTTCAAGTCCTTTGCTCATTTTAAGATTTGGTCTCTGTCTTTTTGGTGTTGTCCAAGTTTGGTATATATTTTGGTTAGTAGATTTTTCTTTAATATATGGCTTTTGAAGATAACTTTCAGTCGCTTATTTTTTTACTTTTTTTTTTTTTTTTTTAAAGCCTTTTAATGAACAGAAGTTTTCAATTTTTTTGAGGTCACGTTTTTCTGTATTGTTTTATGCTGCTTGTGTTCTTGTCATTATATTAATTTATTGTTAAAAGCTATGCCTGAGAATGTTGCCCTTACATTTTCTTCTAATAATTTTATAGTTTTAGTTTAGATCCTTAATTTATTTTTATGTGTGGTATGACAATAGGTCTAGTTTCATTTTTCTGCATGTAAAAATCCAGTTTTCCAAACATCATTTATTAAAGACACTCTTCTTTCCCATTGAGTGGATTTCGTCTGGTGATATTTTCTTGAGATCAGTTTTTTTGCTATATGCCATATGACTTGAATGATTAAAAAGAGAAGGTTGTAGCAATATAAGGAAAATATGTCTTTTATATATGAAGTAGAAATTAAAATTTGAAAAACTTGTAATGTCTGGAACTGAGCATGCAAACCCTGTGGGAAATTCTTTGTACTTTGTTCTTTTTGACAGCTTTTGATTGAGAGACTTAGATGGAACTACAAGTAGATGTTTAAAATTTTGTATAATTTTATTATATATACCCAAAGGAGGGTAAAATTACTGGAGCATATCTTTGTTTAGTTTTGCAAATAAAACTTTCCCGATACATGACCTCTATTTCCTGGGACAATTGTTCTGAAAATGTCGACTCCTGGAGTTGGAAGACCAAAGCTGTTCTTATTCTGTTTACTTTGCACTGGTGATCTAATGATAGGTTACTTTGTAGGCTCCTTAGCATCAGATTAATTTTGACCCTTGTCTCTATATGTCTTTTTACTATTTAGTCTGATTAAGCAGGTAGTATGCCCAAAGCAGTTCTGCTGTATACTAAAGAATGACAATTGTCTTGAGGAAAGGCTGTTGTGTGATGATTTATGAGCTAAAGTACCCACTTTTTTCATGGTACCATTTTTTATTTGCAAGAACAAGTAACAGACAAAGTCTGGTTATTCAGATTTGGAAAATTGCAGATGCTTTCTCTAAGATGAACAGATACTGAGCCTGTCACTTTGAGGAAAACATCTGGCAGATTTTGTTACTGATGATAAAAATTCACTATTTTAAGGGAAAATTGAAAATTTCCAAAACTTGTAAACACTGTCATGAGCTTCACAGCATCTCATTCTTAAAGATTTTTCTGATGAGATAACAAATGTGATTTTTAGATATGTAAATAATGAATTTTAGGAGCTCTGGTGGCATAGTGCCTAAAGCATTTGACTGCTAACCAGAAGGCTGGTGGTTCAAACTCACCAGCTACTCCTTGGAAGAAAGTTTGGGCAATCTATTTCTGTAGTGATACTGTCTCGGAAGTCCAAGGAGAGGTCACTATCAGTTGGATCTGACTTGACAGCAGTGTGTTTGGTTTGGTTGGTTTGGTGGCATAGTGTCTAAGACTTGTGACTGCTGACCAGAAGGCTGGCGGTTTGATCTTACCATCCACTCCTCAGGAGGAAGATTGGGCAATCTACTTCCATAGTGATATAACCTTGGAAACCCAAGGAGGGGTTGCTATGAGTCGGATCTGACTTCACTTCAGTGAATTTTTTTTTTTTTTAATGAATTTTGTCAGTGTTTGGAAAATTTATGTAACCCAGTGAACTAGTGTTTTTAGATGACCTATACACAAGGTTACCACATCTTGCATGGGTAAGAAATCCATTCAAAGTGCAAGACAGACCAATGAATTTTAATGTAATAGAATGTATAAAATTCATTGCCATGGGTTCATATTCCAGAATATAAATTACCTGTAAGAAACTATCAATTATTTGTAGTATCAAGGAAGAATAACCATATATTTCTACGAATATCACTAATACACCTCTCTCTTTTCTGCACATTTCTGTGTGAGACTTGGGCAACATATCACAGTGGTTATCTTCTAGTGAGCTGACCAGTGGAGAAATTTGCACAGCTCTGAAATAGTGCTCCTGTCCTGAGTTTTCTTTGTTTAATTTGGTAAACACTATATTATCTAAAAATATGTCATTTGTTAACATGCAGTTGGTTAAGCACTTTTAAGTAAAATAACGATTTTAATAATTTCTGATTTTTTTTTTTTTTTTTTTTTTTAAGTAAAATAACGATTTTAATAATTTCTGATTTTTTTTTTTTTTTTTGTAAACAAAGATCGATAAATACAACCCTTCTTAACAAGCTGTTTCAGGGCCTAAAATATTTTTAAGTGTGTAAAGGACTCCTGCCAAAATGCTTGTGAACTGGGGGCCTAGGAAATATACATCTAAGTGCAAAATTGGATGTGATTTCTTTCATAGATTTGGAATAAGATTAACAACACTACTATGTAGGAGACGTTCATATCAGGAGACATTCACAATAGAACGGGTGGCAAAATAGGCTTTTTTTCCCCTCTCATAATTTTCTTTAATTTTAACCCAGTTGTGTTATATGTATGCAATTGTTCACATTTTCAGAATGAAGCACTGTCCTTAGAAGCAATAAGAGTTAAAGTAGTAAAAATGCTTGGATCTCTAGGAGGACAAATAAACAGAAATCTTGTAACAGGTAACTTTTTTTAAAAATAAATTTATTTCTGTAGATATATTTGGGGGAGTACCTGAATGGTGCAGATAGGTAAGCACTTAACTACTAACTGAAAAATTTGGGGTTTGAATCTACCTCAAGGCACCTTGGAGGATAGGCCTAACAGTCTGCTTCTCAAAGGCCACAGCCTTGCAAACCCTATGGAACAGTTCTGCTGTGCAACACATGTCATTACCATGGGTAGAAATTGACTTGAGAGCCACAAATAGCCACAACAACAATAGATACATTTGTATTTTAATTTGAACATTAATATTTATATAGATCATGGTATATTTTGGTATTTACTCCTAAATATGATTTACATATTTTCAAACGAGATAGTAAAGAATAACAATTTGTCTAATGGAAATGCTTTGACTATACCCATATGGTCCACATAATTTAGTACATCAGTAGAGAAAATGTTCCAGCTTGATTCTGTTAAGCTCCTTTTCCTTATTAAACTGTGACTCTTCTATACTAAGCATTGTTATCAGGGAAATTGAAAGTTAATCTACATTTTAAAACTTAATATTCTTAATTTGGGTATTTTTAGATGATTATTTTGATGAGAATTAATGTTTTTGATTAGTAAACATTCACCTGTATTTTCACTTTTGAAATTTGTTATTAAACTTGCTAGTGATTTTTGGTTATTTAGGGACTTAGAGCATTATTGGCAAATCTTTTAAAGAGGAAATTTATAATAAAATTATATTAATTTATCATTTTTTCCACAAAATACTTTAACTCTCAATTAAATTGGAAATTAAACATTCTAGGCTGTTAGATTTGCTTAAAGATAGTTTTACTTTAAATTCAGGAATAATATGTTAATCATTTCTAATGTAATTAACATGTCTGAAGCCAAAGGGAAGCAAAGAAGAAACATGAATAAAGCACTTAATAAGAGACTCTGGTTTAACTAGTAAAATACAGAGCAACTGGTCTTAGAAAGATTTTCAATGGAAAAATACTATTATTCAACTTTTTTTTTTTTTTTGACAGCTTCATCTTCAGATGAAATGATGAAGAGATATGTAGCGTGGGACATAGAAAAGAGGCTTCGTTTTGCCATGCCTTTTGTGGAAATGAAGCCCATCATTTATCTGGATGTCTTCTTGCCCCGGGTCACAGAATTAGCTCTGTTAGCTAGTGACAGACAGACTAAAGTACCTTTATTTTTCATTTCACTCACTACTTAGGGTTTATTATTTTTAAAATGTACTTGTTAGGAGATAGATAATCTATTTTAGTCATTCTAATATCATTAATTTTATATTTTCTATAACATATTAGAAAATTACTTTATTATTCACTTTCAGAGTTAGATGCCATTGGCAAATGAAAGTTAAACGTAAATAATCTTAATAGATGTAAGACAAAACTCCAATATGCCAAAACCTCTTTTTAATAGAAAATGGCATTTAAAAGGAAAAAAGGCATTTTTAAAAGTGATTTTTGGTCTGTGCTGATTTATCCCCTTAATGTGAGAGGTTAAAAATAAGATAATCTCAACTTTTTATATTAATGTGTAAATTTCCAGAGTGCTTGATGTTTTTTAAAATGTGTTATTCCAAATGTCTAAAGCTTTTAAATATCAATTCTTTAGTATTAAAAAAAAGACATTAATTGTATACAGCAAGAAGTTCTATTTTCATTTAATGTATATTAAATGCTAGTTATCGGCTTTAAAATTTTGCTTTTTAAACTTTCAAAGGGCAAAGTTGAGTAACATTTCAAAATGTGAAAGCTTGAACTCTGTTGAACTCATGATTTCTTCCAGGTTACAGCATGTGAACTTTTACATAGTATGGTTATGTTTATGTTGGGAAAGGCCACTCAGATACCTAACGGTGACTGTGGCTCCCCACCCATGTATCAGCTCTATAAGCGGACTTTCCCTGTGCTGCTCCGACTTGCATGTGATGTAGATCAGGTGAGATTGTAAATCTGCAAAAGGTCAGTAAGTCCAGTAGAGTAAGAATAGTAAGTCCAATCGAATTTAGTTATCAAACTTTGCCTCATATGAGAGTTACCTGGGGGGATGGGGAGGTCTTTAACAGAAAGTACCAAAGCCTACTCTGTCTCTAGCATTTAATTGGGTGCTTGGCATGTGGAAGGCTTCCAGAAGTACTTATTAGCCAGCACAATTTATTATTCAGGACAATTTAGTCAATAGTGTTAGATACACAGGAAAAAAAATTATTATTTATAAATGTAATTTTTCTTTTAATATGGAAAGCCCAAGAATTAGTAAGAATTAATAAAGGTGGAAGCTGATGAATGGCAAAATAGAAATAAAATCCTGCATTCTCATATATGGGCAGTCCTTTGATAACGAATGAGTTCCACTTCTAAGTCTGTCTTTAAGTTGAATTTCTATGTAAATCGGAAAAGTTAGGTGTGTTTTGTATCTAATATCAATTAGTCAAGTGTTTGTCTTAAAATATAATATATAGTATAACTTTCTATGCATAAAAACATTGAAAGAACAATTAGATAGACTAAATCATCTTTAACAATGCAGTAATAATAATAATGTTTTGATGCATATCAAAAAGTAGCACCCATTTTTTATTGTGAACCATTGTACATACCTCAGATTTTTTTTTTTTTTT